TGAAAAGCTTTGCAGCTTCGCGGCTTTGGCCGGCAAAATGTCACAATGAACCCTTTGCCTGTCACAGCTCAGGCTACAGTCAACACCATCAAGCAGTTGTTCACAGCAATAGCTCGAGCAGCGGCAGAAGCAAACCAGTGGCAGTGACAGCAGCAATAAACTTACAAGAAGCGTAGCAACAGCAACGAAAGCAATCATACTCATGACTCATAGCCATGGTCATGTTGACTATGTCAGTGCTGATACTCAGAGTTCTGACAAGGGTACCATCGCAGACCACTATGTCGCATTCTGCATCATGGAACCTGGAGGCCTTAACCCCGGATCAACGACAGTGAAACCAAACAGTGCCTCATTCCTAGTGGCGCCGGGAGCGACCTCCTCACCTGTTACATCAGGACTCAACTGCCATGCACCTGTACCCTCCTCTCCGGGCTCCAAACCCTCAAGCTCCGGAACCGAAGCCGAAACAACGATGCCCCGAAACCAAACCCTGACAGCTCAGCCCCGGACACACACTGGTAGTCCAGCGGCCTCTGGATGGTTCTTCTAAGGTTTTAGGATTCGCGCCTGAAGCAATGAAGGATTGAGATCCTCTGGGTTTGGGCACTGAATACTGTTGGTCATTGGTAGAAGCCATGTTTTGTCAACGGCTGAAGGCCTAAGGCAGTCTCAGGAGATGTGTTTTGGTTGGACGCTCTGCTCCATGTCCGCGTTTGTTCCGGTAGCCCTGTGTCCGTCTTTCTTTCTTATTGGCAGGGCTCGTGTCATGCTCAAAAGAAAATGAAAAATCGTTCAAACATAAGCACAATGCTCCGGCTCGCGATCTCTTGCTGGTGAGTTCCGCTGGTAAACTTGGTAAACTGTAATACAAGTTTACAAGGCATAAACCGGAATCGATGTAATCATCACCGACATTTTTCCGCCCCGAATTATTGTTACTGACAAGACGACGAAGACGAAGACGACCTCTTCTGTACCACTATCACCACTACCTTACCTTTTTCCTAAGGAGGAGTCAGATGGCCGGCAGCGGCAGCAGTTTCAAGGCGGGGCAAGCACGGTGATCATGGTGGCAGCGACGATGATGACGATGATGATGTTGGTGACGATGGTGATGATGTTGATGAAGATGAAGATGACGATGAAGATGAAGATGAAGATGAAGATGATGATGATGAAGATGAAGAGGAAGATGAAGATGAAGATTAAGATTAAGATGAAGATGAAGATGGATATGAAGATTAAGATGAAGATCAAGATGAAGATGAAGAGGATGATGGTGATGATGACGATAGTGATGATGATGACGATGATGACGATGACGATGATGATGATGATGATCATGCCCATGGTCATGATGACGATGATAAGGATGATGATGATGACAAACATGATGATGACGATCACGATGATGACGATGATTATGGTGATGATGATGATAAAGCTGAAGATGCTGGTGATGCTGATGATGCTGCTGATGCTGATGATGATGAAGATGCTGATGATGCTGATTGATCATCATCATGACGATGACGATGACGATGACGATGACGATGACGATGACGATGAAGATGAAGATGATGATGATGCTGATGATGCTGATGATGATGACGATGATGAGGACAATGTTGTTGACCATGGTCATGATGATGATGATGCTGATGATGATGATGATGATGAGGGTGAAGATGATGATGATGATGGTGGTGATGATGATGATGATGATGATGATGGCGACGATGAGGACAATGATGATGACCATGATCATGATTATGATGCTGATGATGCTGGTGATATTGATGTTGATGATGACGATGATGATGATGATGACGACGATGACGATGACGATGACGATGACGATGACGATGACGATGACGATGACGATGACGATGACGATGACGATGACGATCATCGCGGTGACGATGATGCTCATGATACTGGTGCCGGCGTTGGTATTTGGGAATAAGCAGAACGTTCTGCTGATGTCGGTGATGGCGATGATGGTGGCGCTGGCTGTGGTGGCGGCGGCGGCCAGGGTTGCGGCGGTAGTGGTGGTGGCGGCGGCAGTGGCAGTGGCGGCGGTGATGGCGATGATGGCGGTGATGGTGGTGATGGCGATGACGGCGGTGATGGCGGTGATGGTGGTGTGACGGTGATCATTGTGCTGGCGATGATTAATAATTACCATGATTATGGTTAAGGCAATGAAGTTTCTGAAGATGCCTCGGTACTATTGACCTCAAGTGCTAATCCACACAGCTGCCATGTTTGGTAGCCTTCGGCACGCCGTGCACGAAACCGGCAAAGTTGGTTCTCGTCTGCCGGTGAAACGGATGGCCGCGATGCGGCAAGCTGAAGCGTTTGGAGTCTGCGTCTACTGTAGGGGGGAAAAGCGTTTGCGGAGATGTTATGGTGATATAGTATCAACAAAGTAAAAAAAAAACCTAAGGATTCGTATGAGTACTTATTCAGGCTTCTCCATCATTGCTTGAGGCTCGAATGGTTGAGAAACAGAGGTGGAAATAGTCTTGGAGGTTGGGGGATGAGTGTCCTAACGTAGGGGCCTTAATAGTTAGAATAGGGTTCGTTGGCCCCTTTATAGTACTATTATAAAAAGAAACCCTAGGGAACAAAAATTGGTAACTATTTAGGCTTGTATATTTCACAGCTGTTCTGACAACTAGTTGCTCCAAGCATGGCTCTCTTGTGCAGAGACGGACTTCAACACTCCAGAGTGACTCAGAGGGACTTATGTACAAGGCGGGGCCACGCACGGTCGCATCACTGTCCTCTCTTCTTGCTCCCCTGGCGCCCTCCATCCTCGTTTTCCAGCAGCTGCACTGCTGCCTTGCAGTAGTTCCTGCAGTAGGGGCCACGTTGACGCTGGGGAAGTGTCAGTATCAGTGGAATTCAATGAGACTTCATAGTCAGTACTTCTTCGAGGTAAGCAGGTCGGCTTATAGAAAAAAAACTCGCGCAGATCGCGATAAAAAGGGCGTCCGTTGGCGTGCAGCAGAATGCCGAGCAGCTTGGGGTCTTTATTTTCTGTGGACCGATGCTCCAACCGAACCTGTGCCCTCTGAGGCCCCGACCCTCGCAACTGTACAGGTTGCAGCATATTCTGTGGTCTGCGTTTCAGGATGAGTGCCCTCGGACCCTCTTTGTTTCCTGTGGTCTGTTTCATAAACCCTAAACCCTAAGCCTCAAGGCTGAAGACCCAGAACTGCACACCGGACCCGAAATCCTATGACCCTTCAGCACCGGTGCGTCACGTTTGTTATAGTAGCATGGTGTAATAGTATGCTATAGTAGTATACCGGTATACCGTAGTCGTATATCAAAGTATTCTGGTAGAATATTTTTAGTGCAACATGGTCAACCCCAACGCAATGGTCAACCCCAACACAACCTCCGGGTATGCAGTCGCTACGGGCCTTTCGACTGTTTTGTCTTATTGGCCATCATCTGTCAATATACGCTCACCATACTATAAGACCATAAGGGTCATGCGAACCTACATAAGATTACACTATGTGTCGCCATCCTGCGCATATACAAATACCCCTGTCTATCTTGGTCACCTGAACATCATGGCTACGAATGAACCGGGAGGGCCTTTTTTATACATCCTGAACAGCTTCCAAGCACTCTCACCCCTCCCCCAGCGATGCAAATTCCCAATCTTCAAAATCTGAACCCTTAACCCTAACCCACGGACCCTAAGCCATAGACTAAACGGGAAAGCCCTTCGACCCAGAGCCCGGAACCCACCGAAGTTACCCTGAATCCCCAAATGCGCGGCTTCCCAGGCTGGTCCTGAACCGGTCCACACCCAAGTGAATGATGCCTCGTAGCTTCTTGGAGTTCAGGTTTAGGGGCTTCAGGGCTTAGGGTTAATGTAGCAGCCTTAATGATTAGAATAGGGCTTGGGGCTCCTTTATACTATTATAATAAGGAACCCGAACAGTAATATTGGTAGTTATTTAGGCTTCTCTGTTATGGAGTTCGGCGTTCCGGGTCCCTAGGGTTGAGCCCTTTAGCATCGGGTTCCAGTCTTTGCGTGGTCTTTGGGCTTGAGGCTGAGCTTTGCGCACAACCTTTGCACCACCTCCGCCGTGCTCACCCGAATCTCCGCACCAAGCTCATCGCTGTGATATCGGTTAGTACGAATACTAACTACGAGTAGGACTATACTACTCACCATAGTCGTGATACCGGTAGTATCCGGTAGTTCATCAGGGCCTGTAATCTAAACCTGAAGCCCTGAAAATCCCTGGCTCAAGATCTCCCTCCGAGGACACGCCAGCACATTCAACGAAAAGCACACGGGTTATAGGTTTTAGGGTTTAGGGTTTAGGGCTTAGTGTTAGTTATGGGCTTTTGGGGTTAGGGTTACAGGGCTATAGGAAATCTCCAAAGCAAAAACCGAAGGAAGGGCTGCAGGCCAGGCGATCCTGAATTTCTTCCCAGGGCGTGCAGGTTGCGGAATTGACGCTGACTGTTCTTGCATGAGGGCTTTACATGTTGGTCCGGCATGCCTGTTTCAGTGCAGATCAACTCAGCTTGGGGTTGCAGTCTCGTTCCTGAGATATTCAAGTATACATGACACGCAAGAGACACTAAAACTTACAAAGGAAGCACACACACACACAAGAATCTGCGTCGCAATGCATCCCATCTGCAACTCAAACACGCCGTTTCGATGCACAAAACACACACATAAGACATGCAACACTTCCGAGAAACAGACTGCGCAGGACAACTTGGCTTCTGTCGCCGCAATCGTGTAAGAAATTGACACGGGAAGCATTGACTCGCACCCGATAAAACCCCACAGATCTTTCCAATTTACATCAGGAAACCTTGCACCTCTTACTCGCTGGTCCCATAGAACCCTAAACCCTAAACCCCAGAACCCTGGAGTGAGCAGGTCTGGCCTCTCCACCGAGTGACCTCGGGCGGATTCATCGCAGCAGAACTCGAAATGAGCAGGGACTCCAAGGTTTAGGGTCATACTGTTGATGAGATAAGTCCTGCATTACCTTAAGGACCCTAAACTATGGAATTATGGTATATTCCTTTTTATGGGATTTCAAGATTTATATCATCAACCGTAGGGTTTAGGGATATGGGGTTATAGGGTTGTGGGTTATGGGACTATAGGGTTACAGGGTTGTAAGGTTTGGGGCTCAGGGTTTAGGGTTATAGGGTTTAGGGCTCCGGGTTTTGGGGAAGGTTTGGTTCTGGGCTTGGGGGAATGCGGAAAGGATTTCCCCCATCATGCTTTCGGAACATGGCAACATGATCAGTTGATGGTCTAGGCAGTCATGATGCGGACCGTGACCATGGGCGGGGTCGGAGAATTGGGGATACCTTGTTCTTCAGCCCTCATAATAAGAATCCAGCAACTTGTGGCCACATCGCACACTGAGTCGGGCAGGGCAAAGCTGAATCAGTCCGAGGCGCGATGACGACGATGTCTTTATCCCCGCGCTTCTTGAGCACTGCCAACCTGGGCACCATGTACATCGATGCAGCGGCCAGCCTGTGCCATGCATCCGAAGGGCAAGCGTCTCCCGGCTCCTGCTTCACCGTCGTCAGTGAAATCCTGCTGGCTCAGTGAGACGGAGACGGGGCAGAGAATCTAGAACTGGAGCGACGACCACGGGAGCCGATGGGAAGTCAACCAGTCAGTCAAAAACTGAGGAGCCTGACAGAGGAGATTACGACACAAACGGTACTTGCGGCTTGCTTGCCGAAACGGCAAGCAGCTTCAAAACTAAAGACATCCATGAAATCCGACCCTTGTTGACATGGAGAGGCAGGCCAGCTACATTTCACGGCAGCCTCCCATATCGCGGGATCTGTGTAACGAAAACGCCAGGCTGCCTCGCGGCACACGTGAACACACCAGGACCAAGTCTACGCCAGTCTCAGATGCGCACCACGTTGTGCGTAGCCGCCATGATTTTGCGGTCTTGCAGCAGGGCATCTCTCACAGACTCCTCGGCTCGTGTGAAAAAAACAAAGCTACGGACTACCATGGGCAGCCCGAGATCCCAAGTTAAAGTCAGGAAAGAGGCGACCTCCTGGATGCTCGACACGTGAGCCATGTGAGCCTGGAACGACGACTTCCTCAGCAGCGCATAGGAGATTCTGCGACCCTTCTAAGGTACCAGTAACCCTAATACCGATAGCAACCTTTATAGACACATTTATATATAGAAACTCCGACTCGAGAGCACACAAAGTCCCGGAGTCCTGTCGATCAAGATCTCACCGTGCACAATGGAGAGCTTCGCTTGAGCTTGTGCTGGAGCCTCGGCTTTGGAATTAGAATCGTGTTTTTTATGCCTCCTTAAGAAAAATCTGTTCATTTCACCATATGACAGGGTATGCCCATTTCAGTTTGTATGTGTGTATGCATGCATGAATGCATGCATGCATGCATGTTTGTGCGTATGTGCGTATGGAGGTATGGATGCATGTACACGCATAAGCATATGTCGATATAGGCATGTAGGCATAAATATAGAGAGAGAGAGAGATATATATATATATAGACATACGCAGATATGTGTACATGCCTTTTTGTGCGAGGATATACCTACCTGTGTATGTGCGGGTCGAACCAACACATCCATCCATTCATCTAAGTCTGCATCCATCCGTCCGTCGATCCATACATACTTCTTCTTCTTCTTCCATCGCCGCAAATGACATGGTATACATACACACATACATGCATACATACATACATACATACGTACATACATACATACATACATGCATACATGCATACATGCATACATGCATACATGCATACATGCATATATGCATACATGCATACATGCATACATGCATACATGCATACATGCATACATACATACATGCATACATACATACATACATACATACATACATACATACACGCACGCATGTACCGGCACATATATATATATATACATATACATATATATATATATATGTGTGTATATATACATATACATGTACACATAGTAACAAGTGTGTATATATGTATATATAATATGGGTGCACACTACTCGTGCACATATCCTTCATACGCCGGGCACGCGAAAAAAGCACACCCACCCACACCAACACAAACACAAACACACACACACACACACACACCCGCACACGCACAGAGAGAGAGAGAGAGACGCGCACACACACACACACAGCTCAGGTTACCCGAAAATTCCCTGAAACCCTTCTCAGTGTCCACAAGATCAGATGCCACTGCTAGCTTGCAGGTGCTTAGGGAGGAATGCGCCCGAAACCCTGACTGCAAACGCTACATGCGAGTTTCAGATAATTACGTACCGTGGTGATCGACCCTCAATAGCAGGATCGCAACCATAATGACCCCTGAATAAAGGCACCTCTAAGTCTAATGCTGACAAGCCCCTTTTAAAACAAACAAAAAAGCACACACACACACACACACAATGTACAACCAAAATCCTGAAGCCTAAAGCCTAAGTCCTAAACCGTTTCAATCCCGGCTGGAAGTTAAGGCTCAGGCCACATCTGGGTCTGCAGCTTTGCTCACAATTTGAAGGCCTGGAGAAGCAGGGGTGCTGCCGATACCCTATACGCCACCGCTCCCCCGATCTATGGAAAGCCACATAGCCCAATACGTGGAGACCCCGATGGGCGGATCGCCCTGCTCCGCCTCTCCCGCCTTTCCCCTTCCAAAAACACATTTACGCCGATACGCCGATCGCCCTCCCACAATCGCCCGGCCAGGGCCCCTCGGTCGGTGTATCGGTGTATAGGGGTCTGGGCGCAGATTTGGCGCCCGAACCTCTCGGTGAATAGTAGTAGCGGTGGTTGTAGTAATAGTAGTAGTGATAGTAGTAGTAGTAGTAGTAGTAGTAGTAGTAGTAGTGGTAGTAGTAGTAGTAGTAGTAGCAGCAGTAGTATTAAGGAGTAGTAGTAAGGAGCAGTAGTAGTGAGGATTAAGCCTCGTAGTAGTAGTTGTCGTCGTCGCCGCAATAATAAAACAGCAGTATTAGTAATCGTAGTTTTGCGCCGATCGTATCCCGGCGTCCGCTACGTCGGTGTATTGGTGTATCGGTGTATGGCTGCAGTTTTGCGCGGAAGGTTGCGTCCGGGCTGGGGATCGGTGTCCGCCTCCGCGGTCGCACTGCAACATAAGCCCCGGTTCGGGTCAAGATTTTGCCAGCCCGAGCACTACATCAAAGGGTTTAGGATGCAGCGGGCCTGCAATGATTCCTAAACGGGGCCATTCTCCGTCAGTCTCGGTGGTATTCAAGTCTGACAACGACCAGCAACGCCCGTGGCTGGGCACTGAACGATGACCTGCATGGCCAACAACATCACTGTCCATACCGGTCTCTACCACATTGTCCGGATCACCAGCATAGGCATCACGATGATGAACCATGCCAACAACCAACACCACAATAGGTCGCCAGATCCTAAAGGCCCCTAAGTCCTACACACCCTCAAAACATAATCTAAACCCAAGAAAGCCCAACCAGCTGCCTGGTTTCTCCCCGGTCTGTGCGGCGTGCACCGCCGCTCGCAGGCACTCGGCCATGTCGTAGACACACTCAGAGCCGGTCCAGCCTGTGGGAAGTTAAGGGGCTCTATATGGGTTCTAGAAGGGCTCCTTAAGGGTTCCCAAACGGCTCCATAGGGGTTCTATAAAGGTTCCAGAATATCGGGTTTGGGGTTGATTCTTTAGGGGTTTAGGGTTTAGGGCTTCCGGGTTCAGGGTTTAGGGGTTTAGGGTTCAGGGCTTAGGGCCTAAGTTCAGGATCCAGCCTCCAAACCTTTGGTATCCAACGAGTGATCACAGCGGTACTGTGAGGGATCTGTAAAGTTTCTACAAGCGGCCTATGAAGGTTACTATGAGGGTCACTGTATGGATCTGGGATTTAGGGTTTTAGAGTTTTGAAGATTTAGGGCAAAGATTGCAGGGGTTCGGAAACTCGGGCTTAGGGCTTGGCTGGATTAGGTTGGGGAGTGAGACTAAAGTGCTTGTGGTCTTTGGAAGAACTCTTCAAAAAACGCTCTAATTCGAAAGAAAGCCCGAGCTAGATTCACTCGACTGGCCCGAACAAACGAACCTGCAGTTTCGGGAAGTACATACTGACTTGAACATGATGCTGAAGGACCGAGTCGAGTTACTGAATACCCAGATTTCCTGACCTAGGCCTTCCCTACCCAATCCCCTGCCCCCACAACATCGCAAGGAACGCATGCATCCTGCTGCAGAACTCTCCCGGCCCAAAGCCACAGCTGTAGGAATTCCGGCGAGGCCAGGGTGCAAAGGCCAAAAGCTTTAAAGGAGCACCATATTCAATGTTGTGCCTTGTGCTCTAACACCTCGAAACCCCTACTCCAAGTTATCCAATTTCGACAAGTCGCAGGCTTCCAAGCTGGCTTGGATGTCGGGGGGTGCGGTTCCATGAGGACACTCCACCCAGACCTCAGGCTCACAACAGGTTGGAAGCCGGAGCGTGTGGGCTTTGGTTCGTGAAATCCAAGGTTGAAGGAGGATGATATAGTGGCCCTAACTTGATATATAATTACCTATATTGATTATACTTATAATGCAGTGGGCCCCAAAACCCTTTTCGACTTATTGAGGCCCCTATACTACGCACCTCGCAGCATGTGATCAGCCAGGGATCGCCTACTTACGCGCAAATTGAGTCCCACACCGACAGGTTGATGCTGACCCACCGCTCAAACAACAAGAAGGGATGGCAGGACGTTGCCCCGACATGCTGGCTTGGCTTTCGTGTGCATATGTCTCGCCCGGAAATGTTGCCCACAGGGGCATCCGAACCACATCGCAAAGCCTTCCTGGAATGAGTCACATGGAAGGCTTTCGAGCCCGCTTGGAAAAACAAAGCGTATGCCTTTCCAATGTAGGGCTCGACATGAAGATGCCAGAATTGGCATGCGATGTTTTTTGCCTAAACAACGCCCAAGCCATGAAACCTGCACCGTTGAGGGCTAAGTCGCACGCCGAAAACTTAGAACAGGGTTTGGGGGCCATCTGTATGAGAGACTGTTGCGGAAGTAGTGGGGCCCTACAGCATGTAGGCTTATACAGTAGTAGAATTATAAGGACCCCTATGGCACAGCAGCCTGGAGCTCAGTTGGAAGCTGCTCCGTGACTGGAGTACAGTCTCTGTCGCTTACGGTACAACTTTGCAGGAGTTATCGTATCATTACCATGATTGCGATTCTCCTGCTGGCCATTGCTATGCTTCCTAGTTCTTGAAACCTTGCAGTGAGCTGGAACTTGGAACAACCTTCAAGTGAGGCCAGGCGCACAGGGTGGGCGCGACGCTGGATACCCTGCGGGCAGCTCCACGCGCAGCGCCGTGCCACAACCAACATGGATTATCCAGGAACAGCTGTTGAGCACCTGGTCAGGTGTTCGGGTTTAGGGCTTCAGGGCTTCAGGGCTTCGGGCTCCTCGTGTTCAGATGTAAAGTTTCAGGTTGAATTAGGGTTTAGGACATCTGGGTTTCGTGGCTGGGCAAGACCCGGAGCAGAGGCTTTAGGCGTCACCCACGAAAGTGACAACGAAAGGTCGGCAAACCCTGCCCCACATACAAAGAGCAGACCCACGGATGTACACCAACGGAGTGGGCACGATGTGCAGCCAGCACAGAAACGACCAACAGTGTGCCGAAAGCCGATCTACAACAGCAAAATCCAAAGTCCTATGGACACAGCAAGCGACCATCCAACAGCCCCACCATGAGTTCGAGACGATGGGGGCCCACATGCTCGTCACAACTCTTGGCGGCGCCAGTTCTTTCTCTTTCGTGCTACCCACCTCACAAATGAATGTGCTTGTTCTTTATCAGAGTCAGCACCATCACACTCAGAGCCACTAGCTTCGTCATCATCTTCTCCTTCATCATCATCATCATCATCATCGTCATCGTCATCATTGTCATCATTGCCATCACCATCACGACCGTCAAGTCTGTCATCGCACATTCTAGTGCCCTGCATGCCAAATGGTTGAGGACCTTCATGCAGACCCAGCTGCTGACAGCCTCCCGCCCAAACTTTCGCAAACTTCACAGCCTAAACCACCCAACTCTGAGACCCTAGCATCCCAAACCCTAAAACCCTGACCCCGTGAACCCTACACCCTTTATGCCGCAAACCCTAAAGCCGGGAACCAGTGCTAAGGTGAACCCACCAAAGCCTCAAAGTCTGCGGCGTAGATAGCCTCAAGGGCTTCCTGCTCCTGGTCTTCTAGAAGACTTAGAGACAGGGGCTAAAGATCGGTCGAACAGAGATTCCTATGCGGCTTGCTGTAAGAGTTCTAACTTTGCGCTTTGTGGTTTTGGGTTGATGGGGGGGGTAATGTATTGTATGGCTATAATCAGGAAACTTAAGCAGAATGTTTCTTACCGGCTACTTAGAGCCGTGCTTTGTCTTTAGGATTTAAGGTTCGGGGGTTTGGAGTTTGGCACAGGCGCTTGAAGGTTTGGCTTTAGGGGTGTCTGGGGTGTTGTAGGGTTTAGGATCTAGGGTGTGGTTAAGGGTTTGGGGTTTTGGGATTTTGGGGTCGAGGCGTTTCGAGTTTATGCGTTTCGGAGTTCTTAGCTCCGAACGGCCGTGGAGATCGGAACTTAGACACTGAAAACAGATCCCGCGACTAGCAAGCCCTCAAAGCTTTCTGTGAAGTTTACTCTTACTGCATCACGTTATTGGGCTTCAAGGATGTTAATAAGGTATTTGGCTTAACCGACTTATGTGATCCTCAACATCATCATAAACCTAATATCCTTTTGTAGCACTAGTAGCAGTAGCAGTAGCAGTAACGGTAGCAGTA